AAAAATTAATCACAGTTTCTATCTACGCTTCTTTTCAATTATAAGTGTACCATTTAAGAACAAAAAATAAAATATATATATATATATTGAATCGATGCTCTCAAAAAAATTTTGTTTTATGAGATAATAATTATACATAATCCTGTTATGAGATGTTGTGTGAAAACAGATATTCTTACGTTAACAAAGCAATAGGAACTATCTCGTATATCGCATATCACTTTTAATTTTACAATAATTTTCAAGATTACTTCTAATTGTTCCTTTTTAAATGACAGAAACAAAAATGATTAGCATTTACATATAGTAATTTTAGAAGTCTGTAAATAAATATTATATTTTTTTTTAACAATGCTTACAAGAAACAGAAAAAGCTACTTTATAGGGCATCATATTTACGTTTATCAGGAAATTTCCTAATAAGTCGTAAAATCGAAAGTATTCTTAATGTACTTTTTAAGGGGGATGAACGCTTTAACGCGTATTAATATGCTGCCATAATGTAACATGACTAATATTCAGTGATAAGTATTTTGATAGAATAGAACTTTTTACTGTAAAATAATTACTTATGAAATTCTTCGTTTTGTAATAAATTTCGCAAGTTTGAAAAAAAACAAAACTTACACTTGCTAAACATTGAAATTTTACTATACCGGTTGTTATAAAAAGAGAGGAAATTACTTTTCTGTCTCTTATACATACTAGAGAGAAAGACAAGGAACTTGCTTTGTTTAGTGCTATGTACTTACCAAATTTAGTTCGAATGAAAGACTAGAACGTATGTCTTTCTCTTTATAATCTACAATTACATAAGCTAAATGAAATCTGCAAATTCTAATCGAGTTTGGGTTTCATTTATTGCTTGATAACATTAACCAGTGATCACATTAAGCGGTGACTACAAAACTAAAATTATAATCGATTAATATCCAGTTTTTTTTAAAGTACTAACTAAGGATTTCTAACTATATTTAACAAAAGAACAGACGCAATTATTTCTATTTATATATTATATAATGTTTATTCTATTATTTTTTCGTGAGCTATTAAAATTATAATATTAATTGACTTAAAGGTCGGGAATGTCGTCCTATTGTTAATGCAATAAATTTGTTTTTCTTTAATAACATTTCCATAACGGTGTACACAGTTTTACACAGAGAGTCTTTCGAAATAATGCAGCCATCCTGAAATAATGACATTAAATTTATCGTAAACACAGATTATGTGAGGAAAGTAGAACAGAGTTAATGTAAACGTCGAATAATCTGTAATTATAATACTGATTTTGATTTAAATAAACAAGAAAAATGAATTTTACATAAGTTATTATTCTGCATATTTTGTAAAACATTCATATACTATCTGGTGGATAACATTCATTGCTGAAATAAGCAGTAAATAAAAGAATTGAATGCATCAATAAATTTTATATTGATACAATAACCGAATTTACAAAATTGAATTTATTGTTAGTTCGTGTTTGATCTGATAAATATATTGTTATTGGAATGCATTTTATGAAATTTTCGAATAATTTCAACTTGCGTAATACACGTATATATCCAGAAATATAATACTGATCAAGTTTAATAGGAAAAAGTGTATATTTTAATTTTAATTTATTATCGTACTACTTAGAAGAAAAGGGTGGATATTATAAAACAATTAAAAGTTGTACCAAACTATTCAAGCTTATTGGTATCGAGATAATACAAGGTGATAAAATGGTGTACGGTTATGAATATTTCAAATTAACAATTTCCCTCAGTTACAAGCAGGGCTTTGGAGCGACCATTTTTTGAGTTGCTTCGCTCCAGCTCCACTCCGGAATCAAAGTATTTGCTCCAGCTCCGCTCCATGCTCCGGTTAAGATATTCTTACAGGAATTACACTAGTTTTTTCTTTGGTATATAAGTACGTATAAAAAAAAACTTGATTATGTATTTCCATGCCGACGGTAAAATGTTTGCATCCTTGCATTCGCAACAGAGAAGTGTGAGAACTACAGATCTAGCTTATCGGATAAATGTTTAAATTATAAGAGTGCAACCATTTTACCGTCTGCATGGAAATACATAATCAGAAAGAACTCGTAATATGATACGTTCACCAATAAAAACCCGAGTTACTATATACAAATGTTTACATATTGTATTCTGGAAATTACTGTATTTTCTATTCCTTTTTATATTAATTTGTTTTTCCTTATTTATTGTATTAATTTCGTTATGCTTGTTTACGTAATTTAATTTCAACATATGTTCTAATATAATTTAAATTTGAACGTGTTCGAAAATGCCATTGATTCGAACATATTTGACCTGATGCTGGTCCGTGAAATGGGTTGAAAACGTTTATTTAGCTCAATAAAGGTGTGTTCTCAGTATTAAGATTTTTGACTGTATATTATTAATTGATTTTTAAACAACTAAGAATAATATTTTTATTATATCTTTTATAAATAATTTAAGTATATTTTCGAACACTTTACACGAGTATTTAAATTTTATATTGTATAAGCTGAACCATGCAACATAAACTTTTAACTTAATGATTTTATAATATAATACTTCTACTTAATCTTAAATATGACGTATAAAGATTTCAAATTAACGACGACGCCAAATAAATTGATTAAATTCGTTGTGACTGTAATAAGCTTTACTCATTGGTCCTAATTAAGTACATTATTGGTAAATTAGTAATACAGGCAAAAATCATTTTAATATATGAATTCACATGTTCTAAAAGTGTTCATTAATTAAATTATAATACAGTAGAGTCTCGAAAACTCTGCACTCGATAACCCGGAAGTCCGGATAACTCGGCAACACGCTGGCAAATCAAAAAATCCCCTAGTTAATTTTTTATTATAGACAGCTTTATCCCTCAAAGTATTTTTCTGAAGTCTGTCTTAGGTAAATTACTGTACACTGTGTAGTCATTAATTTTCATTTTCATGTAGTAAAGGCTTTATGCCTTCATAAAGAACAGTACGTACTTTCCCTTTGTTTAAGGGTATTTGAACAGTTTATTCTCTGTTATATTCTCAAACAAACAATACATACAAGTACTGTACAGTACAGTATTTTCTGAGGAAACACTCGTACTTATTCTTTTATAACCCCAATCCAGATAACCCGGCATTTTCACAAATTCGCCACTCTTCGGTTCACGTTAGGCTGAGTTTTCGGGACTCTACTGTACTAGTATATTTGTAGGAATTTATATGCTTTTCTTCTTTAGGTTGTTCATTTATTAGGCTTCGACTTACACAATTGAGTTTATATTTAAACACGTGACCAAAATTTTGGATTTCGGACATGCCACCAATAAACCAATCAATTGACTAACATTAAATTTTTATTAGTTATACTTAATTAGCAACGTCTTTTAGGATAATGAATTTAAGCTAACTCATATCAATTAGTATAAGTTCTTTAATTAATGAAAGTATGGAACGTACAGTACCTAGACATTTAATTTTCTAAAAATCGATTCGATCATAAATGTTTACATACTTTTTATAAATCAAAAAATTCATTTAAGTAAAATGACCTGAGTAAATTCGTTAATGTCATGCGATATTGTCATAAAATGATTAGTAGAAATAATAAGCTGTGTTATGAAATCACGTATAAGAAGACTTTTCAAAATATCGGCTATACGTCAAAAAAATTAAATTAACAGAGGATAATTTATTATTTAATTTTGAAACACTTTATAGGGTTTAAAAATTAAAGGTTGTTTTAGTCATAATAAAATATTCATAATTCGACTAAAAACAATAAAAATTTTCACTCAAATATAAAATGGCTCAGAGAATTAGCAGGTCTTTCCATTCACGATTTTATGTGGTTCGAGTAAATTTATGGATGGCATCGCTGCATGCATTCAATTTTTCTGAATGCATCTGTTTCCATTTTAAAATACAAAAAAAAAAATAACTTTTAACATTTTTGCTTTAAATATATAAAATTATTAAATTTCTGAATGTCTTCTTAATTTTCATCCACATTTGTTTACGAATAATCTAAATTTATTTTAAGTGTAGAACGAAATTTTTAAATAAATAATTCGAGATATTCTTACTAATCAGTAACTCGAAGAATATAATTACATTTTTACAGTTTATTGTCTGCTGAGTGTTTTACCCTCATAATAAAAACATATAATTATGGGTAAAAGTCTTAAAATGATTAGAGACATTCTCATAACGTTGTTTTTCTCGTAAATTGATTGCATTCTAATGTCGAGCATTCTCAATCGAATCACGTTGAATAATATACAGAAATTCAGGCATATTTTGAATACACCTCGCTATAAACTGTATATTTTAAATATAAATCTCTGTACATTACTAAATACTTAACATAACATACATGCCAAAATCTTTTCAAATAATCTGAAAAATATGCACATAAATATAATATGCAAAATGACAAATAAATCACAATTTTATTGATTACAAACAGCTTCTAATCAATGTGTTTCCCTCTTCAGTCTGCAACGCGATTGGCTTTTACATTTGTTACCGTCACTCAATCGATTTTCTTTACCAATCAGAATCCATTTAAATCCTGTACACATACACTTGAAGAGAATTTGAGTGGAGTGCAACCATTATTCCAAAATTTGAAATTTCTCCTCAACCATTGCGTCTGCAAAATATCTGTATTGCTGAATTTTTAGTATATCGTAGTATAACAAAAGACAACAGTTTAAAAACAGTTTGTTGAATTTCGAGGGAATACGACGAAATAAAGTTCGCACTTGTCTGGTAAAAATGCAGTCATCGTACAGTCATTGTATAGCAAGAAAACTTCTACCGGTGATTTCTATTATGGAACTCTTCGGATTGGATATGTTGGAAACATGCAAATGTCGAAAGAAAAAATCAAAATTAATTCAAAATTTTTTTGTAATTTACATGACTTTCTTCGAATTATTTTTATGGACGATAACATTATTGTTTATTACTATGATAACAATAACCGATGCTTATTGCCATCAGGTATTTCTAATATTTGAAAACAACAAACTGTACGTTCAGTTTATTGCATTGATATGTTCTTTGTACACAGCGGTACAATTTAGCATTTTGAAAAGGAAAAAGCATAATCTTCACTATTTAATGAGAGATTTCAAGAAAGAAGAAGAATTCATCGAAAAACGTGAACATTATTTTCATTATTATTTCATTTTTTATGTTTTCACTCTTCTTTGTTGGTTCACAATGGTAGTCTTTGCCGGTTATTTTGGTTTCAGATCGGGCCATTACCATTCTACGAAATCTTATTTCTGCCTTTGCGTATTCGGTTTTTGGTTATTTCATGTTGCGTCTCACGCATGTTGTGTACTTTTGTTTTTCGTAGTTTTTATCTCGCTACTAGAGAAAAGGTTAATAAACATTTCTAATGAATTGCAACTTACAATACACGCAAGAAAATCTTTCATTGATGAACTAACGGAGAAAATTTGGAGAATTTGGCAAATTTTGGAAGAGATGAACGAAAAATGGAAAGCTTTGTTTCCTCTTAATTACATTTTTTTCGTCTACGAAATTTGTTTTTGTGTGTATGTTTTTTTCTTCCTAGAGATAGGTACAATTTTTCGTATAGGTATTGGAGTGATTTCAATGATTTTACTGGCTGCAACATTATTCATTGCATGGTCATTATCAATTTTCACATCTATCGTGAGTATTGTTTCATTCGTATGACATCTACGAAATTAATATAATTTAATTAATGAAACGGCTGTCGAGGTTTAATGAATATATCGATATATTTCAGATCTATGACAATTATATCAGCATCGGGAAATATTCATCATTATTTGCGCCCGAATTTAGATTTAAAGTATGTATTTGTTTTTAAATTTACACAATAGTAATATAATTCAATTAATAATTGAACCATTTCAGATGATTTGTTTCATGAAGAGATTTGGAGGAAGACCTTTTGGAATATCAATGTGGGGATTTTTCTACGTTAAAAGAACTTTCTTAATAAGGGTAAATATGTAGGCGTGTAATATTATTTGTTAATTTACAGCATTGCAGAATACAACTATATATAAGTGTGTAAAAATATGAATTCATAATATTTTAATTTAATGTTTTATTTTTCTCTTATTTAATATAATATTTAGAAAAATAGAACGTTAACTGAGAAATACCACAAAGAACAACTTTATTATATTCTTATGTTTTTATATTTATTCTACTTTAAATTGTTTTCAGTTCGTCAGTGGATTGTATTCTGTTTTCTCTTCTCTCATTCAATTAACCGGCGTTCTGGATAAGAAGAGATGTTCTACAAAACGTGTTGAACATTTTACATTGAAGAATGAAACAGCTTTTTGAATATTGATTTAGGAATATTTATTAATAATCTTTTAATGCACATTCGTTATTATTCGCAAAACGCTAAAACACTGCATTTATACTGTTACTACTATGCAAAATACTATTATATGCTATTTTAAAAAATAGCATATAATAGTTATTATTTTTGATGGTTTGCTTGTTTGCTTGTAAATGCATTGTTTTTTCTTGGTTGTAATGTATACACGATAAGTGGAAATATAAGAATTATATCAAATTTGACCATTTGAAATTTTCGCAACTCTCCACGTTTTGAGAACTCCTGAATCCAAAAGGTAGAAAAAAACAGCAAACAATTTTCTGAATATGCGTGCATGTGTGTGTGGGAGTGGGTGTGTTGGCGTATATTTTGCTAAATATCCTAGGACAGGTTAAAGATTAATAAACGAAATTCGTCAAGGTAGCTTGTATATGAGGTGCATTGATGCTGTTAAATTTTTGTTTTCACTCTTCTTTGTTGGTTCACAATGGTAGTCTTTGCCGGTTATTTTGGTTTCAGATCGGGCCATTACCATTCTACGACATCTTATTTCTGCCTTTGCAAAATGACAAATAAATCACAATTTTATTGATTACAAACGGCTTCTAATCAATGTGTTTCCTTCTTTAGTCTGCAACGCCTATGCAAAATGACGAGTGGGTGGGGAGGAACAGGGGATATGTATCTGCAGAAGAGTAAGAATTAACAAATAAAAATTTTATTTGTTATTAACATTTTATCTCTTCTATAAAACTCACTCCTACCCTTAAAATAAAGCTGTTTCTCATTGCATAGTAATTAAAAATATAATCTTTTAGAACCATATCTAATAATAAATGGCGCCACACAAAATTTTATCTTATGCTTAATGATATAAATGTTCTTTTTTAATAAAAACGCCTAATAGACGGAAAGTTATTTGCTAATATTTGCAAAGAACTAATAGCATTGAAAAGCACAAGTAAAACAAAGAGCACATATTCCACAAGTATCACTCTGAGGAACTAAGTTCAAATTCGCATGGTTCAGAATACTCCATGAATTTTTCGGTGCTAGTCTTTCTTGACATTTGTGGTCTGTCTCTGACCATCCAGCTATTATGAGGCCGAGCCAAACGCAATAAAATCGGGCATCTTAGTGCACATAAGAGAAAAGAGTTTTAAAATAATCATTATGTATCGTGTTGCAACATCCACTTTTTACCGATTTGAGCAACGTTGTAAAGAACGTTGTTACGGCATATATAATTTACGATAAGTGCCATTAAACATTGAATCTTAACTGAAGTTCGTACCCACCAATTACCGAATGGAAAAAAATCACTGAACTCCGGTAGTTAGTTGTTGATTCGTACCTCACCAACCCGATTAATTTTAATGGAAACTTGTAACTTTCTGGGTTTTCATCACGTTTGTACTATCACCTCTATGATACCTACAAGTATTGTTTACTTGCATGTAATTCTTCTGTAATTTCTTAGTAAATAAAGTTTTAGATTTTATTCGTGCTAAAGACTATTAGACCAAAGTTCTTTTGATTATTATTTATTTTAATTTTATTAACATAAAATGCAATTAAATTAGTCGCGTGTATCAAACATTTTTATATTACTCGAAATGGTAAGATAAACATGAAGAATTGAATATACATCACGATATTAAAAATACTTCGATTCGTTCCAATATCACGAAAAATTTAAAATATCTCGTAACTAAAATGACAGAGAATACTTTAAATACATTTTAATATTTCAAATAACAACTCTAATACTAAATAGGAAATAAAATATGTTGAATTTCCTAGGAAAATTATTTCGAATAAAATTCTTACCGCTTTAAAAGTATTTGGTATTTTATTTGCTACAATAATGTACAAATATTTAAATTCTATTAAAATCTAGACATCAATATTCGAGAGTATTAAACACAAGAATGTGTTATTAATTAAATACATGGCTTCTTTTCCATCTTTATTTAATTGATACGGTAATTCTACACGTTTCAGGCTTTTGGCCCCTCATCAGTCAACATTGACCACGATATGACACTTGTACACCACGAGTTTGTATATTACAAACTAGAAGAATGAGGTGACTACACGGACACCATAAAATTTTCGTAGATTGTTAAATGTATCCGTTCTTCTTATCAAAGACAATGGATGAATGATGCTGAGTCCTCTCGGACACTTATTTTGGCACATTTGTTAATTCGGAAAACTTCTCACAAAATTTTTAGTAGTATAGGGTAAACTTGCCTAATTCGTACTTGCGCCTAATTCGTACTTCGTTTATATCTTAACTCCGGTAATAGTTATTAGTGTCTCTAGTAGCAAAAGAAGTAAATAACAATCGGTCGCTTATATCTTCACTCCCGTAATAGCTATTAGTGTCTCTAGTAGCAAAAGAAGTAAATAACAATCGGTCATATTACCATCTGACAGACAACACGCTGTTACTCTGCTCCGGACAAAAATATTGAAAAGGATTCGTAAACTTATTTTTTTTCTAAGTTTCTGATTTAAAAAATAACCGCAAAAGTTCAAAACAACGTAAAACTTAATCGTCTTTAATTTTAGAACAACATGTCAAAAAGAAAATATAATTCTTGGAGTAAAGAAAATATGAAAGAACCGATTAAAAAATATAATGACGGGACCTTATAATTTACCGAAGTTTTAGTGTATATAATGACCGAAATTGACATTTAGACGACAGTTACAAGGACTGAATACACATCAAAGAATAGACTAGATAGGTCATTTTTCAAATCACTAAAACAGAATTTTAGTGCTGCTTGCGCATCGTGGATGCAAAGCGTTTTAATTCCTTTATAAAGCATATCCTCGAGCCGTTTGTATGGACACAGGAATGCAAGGCTTCGAATCTTGCAAATTGTGGCCTCGCAATCGCTTTAAGATAGGGGATGAGGAATATGTTGTTCTTGACGAAGATGCTAATCTAAGTGAATCGGCAGAAGTCTCCCAGAATCTGGCAACTGAAAGGCAGCAAGAACAAACAGATACTTTAACGTGTGTGGCACTATCCAATCAGACTACTGAGCAAGAACAGACTGAAGAAGTTGAGTCCCCACAACTTCCTGAGGTACCGACAACTCACCCTTCGGAAAAACAGCGAGATCAATGTCTAAAAGAGAAAGCGAAGGAATGTTCTTTAGGTATGAAAGTAAACATTTCTAATACAGAGACAGTTCGAGCGACATTTCAAATAATTTCTCCACTACGTGGTATTCTTGGAATTGCAAGAAGAAAAACGTATGAAATAATCTTGGTTCGAAGAAAAACAAAACTACTAAAATATCACAAAAGGAGAATTAAAAAAAAAAAAACAGGAAGATGAAAATATCTGTTGGTACTGTAAATTATGCCAAGAAGACGTAAAAGAAAGTATGATCAAATGCACACAATATGAGATACGGGTACATGAACTTTGCGCAGGAACCAATAAAAAACAACGGATTACAACTGCGATGACTGCCGAAAATTGGCGAAGACCATCCGCCGAATTTGTTAAGAGTTAATAGACACACGTATTAATACATTATTGATAAAGATTTTTATTCTTAAGACTGCAAACCAACGATAGGATCTCAAAGTACGATTTAAGAATATATCAGTACGATTTAAGACGAATGTTCCTAAATCGTACTTTTTTAGTGTTTTTTTAAATTGTTTATTTCTCAGAAGTTTATAAGATTTATGCTAAAGTTTACTATGGTAGTGATAAAATATTTCCCAAATAAAAGTTACTTAAAATAAAAAATATTTTATGTTTATTAATTTCGATAATATGATGGTTTTTCCTGAAGTAGTACGAATTAGGCAAGTTTACCCTAGATAACAACGATCCTTCCCATATGTATCACTGTTTAACTGTTTCATGTTTTTGGCCACAGTGTGTATCTACTATCAATTGAAATTGCATTATAACGAGTGCATAATACATTAGATATCTGTTATCTATTTATTTTTTGTATTGGCCTAAATATTGTTTAGAAAAAAGTCGCACATATCGGACTAAGCACACCATATAAGTAAAATTGGCTTATTCGAATGTTTTTAAAAACTATTTTAGTCCTGTGCACAATATCAAAGCGTTTTTTTTTCGCTCGCCCTTATAAACTAAGACAGGCTTACAATGGCGGAGTTAAACGGATAGGACTATGACGACAAATTTCTGACAACTGGAACAATTAATGGAGTCTTTACTTAAAATTTGATCATTCATCCTGAGAAGTGAGAAGATTCACCTTGATTGTTCGTCTAACACTGCTTCATTTGGCATTTGTGGAAATATTTCTGTAACACTGAGATAATTTCTGTTATATTACAGCAAAATTAATTAAAACATGATGCCAAAGTAACACACCTCGTAACAAAACGAACGCATCTGTATTTATCAATATCACTTGAAAAATCTGCATTTTTCTATATTAATAGCATCAATCTTCAAAACAAACAAACCGCCCTAAAAATTTTATATATTATCGACAAAGAGCACAGGAGTTATTAAGCTTCAAAGGGCGTGAACAAAAATCGTGCCACACATATGTACTCTCTGTTATATATAACAGTCGGGAAAGTAAAAATAGTATTTACGTAATTGTAAAAATTAGGAATAATAGAGATATGTGGCGACATATTAATTTATAACATTTCTGTTCTAATTACGTTTTTAAATTAGAATACTTACTCTTGTTATTTTGCTTCTTATACACTTTACGTATGGTCGCTGTCTTTAATTCGCGTAGTGAATTGAAGGAAAGTGCTGATTGTTCTAATAAATATTTATTTAGAAATCATACTTGGATATGTTTCATAAACGTGACAAGAACAAAATATGTTCTGTTGAGTATGGAAAATTATTTAATAAATCAAGTATTTTTTTCAGGGCTGTGGAGTCGCGTAAAAATCTACCGACTGCAACTTCCGACTCACTCCGACTTTTCCTTACCATCCGACTCCGACTCTAACTAGGGGTAGACTTGTTACCGAAAGAGACACGGAAATTCTGATGTCATCACGTGACCTCAGAATAAAATATTTAATAAATAAAGTTGTAATAAAGATAGAGCGTAGAAACTTTTTATTCCAAAGCTAAAAGACTTCTCTAAGTAATATATAAATATGTATCGGATAATTTTTACTTTTCGGCTGTTATATATAACAGAGGAAAGTGTAGAGCTCGGTCAAAAATGACCCCTTCCAAATTTTTTCATTTTTGGACTCGGGACACCTTGAAATTTCGAGATATGCAAAGAATTCAAGGTTTTTTTCTATATGTGTGGATGTTAGACTGTGTGTGGGGGGCATGATTTTGTTCACCCTGTTTGAAGCATAATAATTTCTGTGTCAGAATGGTCGGAATCGCAGTCGGTTGATATAACACAGGAGTTAGTTATTTAAGTCAAAGTAGTTGAACTAAATCATGTCCCCATATACATTCTAACATCTTAGGCGAGAACACTTTAACGGGTTTGGCTGTACTACCGTGTTTCCCCGAAAATAAGACAGTGTCTTATATTAATTTTTGCTCTGAAAAATGC